CCCAGCCGGCGCTGACAGGAAGGTTCAAAGTCTCTGGAAATGTCTGGTTTGTGTTCAGCAGAGCTGCTTCCTGTCAGACTTTTAGAACCGTTTTAGAACCGGAAGCTGAATTTTAGGAAAAGAGTAAAACAGCTGTTTCCTGTTTCTGAATTAGAAATCATTTGTATATCTTTAAGTCCTCATTTAGAAAATACATTTTAAGATTCATTTATTTATATGAATAGGATCTTATCAAAATATTTTCAATGAACAGCATCATTAATATTTCCCTGAATCAACAAATTATCATTTTCCAAGAGAATCTTTTTAAAATTAAGTTAAAAATATTTTTTAGAAAAGCTTAAACATTTTTTTATTTTTATTCATTTATTTATATAATCCTTTAAAAATATTTTCAGTGAACAGGATGATATAATGATAATAATCTGAATTAACATTAAATAACTACCCTTTTCAATAGATTTTTTATAAAAGCTTTGTCAACATTTTTAAAGAATTAATTTACAACATCTTTAAAAATATTTTAAATGAGAAGAATCTTTTTTTAATAAGACAAGTTTAGAACTTTAACCCTTTTTAAAAAAAAAAGAAAGTTTGACATGATGAAAATGCTTTTTATGAACAATTTTTAAAAACAATTTTTAAAAACGTAAAATCTGAATTCTCGTCCCGCTTGTCCAGTTTGACTCTCAGCTGGTGTTTACTGGTTTTATTACAGGAAACGAAAGGTATTTCTCGTCATTTGCTCTCAAACATAACTCGTTTCTGAAGAAGAATCCTTTTTTTTTCTCCAAACCTGAACGTCGGGTTTCTGGAAGTTGAACCTTCCTTTTTGGTGCGACCTCCATCCCACCAAATGGGCTTCGTGTTGTTGGGTTTCTGCTCCAGTTTCTGGTCCTGCTTCTGTGAAAATGTGCTCTTTTATTCCATTTCATTCAGATATATTAGGTGGATTTTTCCCATCTGTGCTCAGCGTTTTGCATGCTGCTGTTTCTTTTGGGTTATTTTTTTATTCTGCCTGTTTCTGCTGCTTTTTGTGAAGTATTTTGGACTGTTGGAACAGCTCTTTTTAAGTACCTTAAGCATCATGGAGCCGACAGCAGTGCTTTGTGGACCATTTAAGTCTTATTGATGGTTTAAATGCATGAAACTAAAGTTTAGTGTCTCTGTTTGTGTCACATGTGATGGACATGACCATTAATTTCCCACTAGTTCAAATAGTCTGCTTAATATTTCCATGTATTTACATTCCTATGTACCTACATGTGATATCCTAGTCGTCTAACAGCCTTTAACACGCTCTCTTGATGCCCTTTATCCCCTCTTTGCTCGTACTAATGCAGAAAGCTTCTGAGAAGCTAAAGGAAGAGGAGAGGAGGAGGATGGCAGAGATGGAGGCGGAGCTGGACAAACAGAAACAGCTGGCCGAGGCTCAGGCAGAGTCCGTGGCCAAAGCGGAGCGGGAGGCCACGGAGCTGAAGCGGAGGATGCAGCAGGAGGCCGACCGGAGGCAGGACGTGGCGGCGGACGCCCAGCAGCAGAAGCAGAACGTCCAGCAGGAGCTGCAGCAGCTGAAGAGTCTGTCCGAGCAGGAGATCACCTCCAAGGGCCGGCAGCTGGAGGAGGCGCTGCTCAGCCGCTCCCGCATCGAGGAGGAGATCCTCACCGTGCGCCTGCAGCTGGAGACCACCCAGAGGCAGAAGAGCACGGCCGAGGGCGAGCTGGCGGCGCTCCGGGAGCGGGCGGCCGAGGCCGACGGGCTGAGGAGGGCCGCCCAGGAGGAGGCGGAGCGCCTCCGCCGGCAGGTGGGCGAGGAGACGCAGAGGAAGAAGAGCGCCGAGGAGGAGCTGAAGCGCCGCTCGGAGGCGGAGAAGGAGGCGGCCCGGCAGAAGCAGAGAGCCCTGGAGGAGCTGCAGAGGTTCAAGCTGCAGGCGGAGGAGGCCGAGCGGCGCCTGAAGCAGGCGGAGGAGGAGCGGGGCCGCCAGCTCAAGGTGGTGGAGGAGGTGTCCCAGAGGAGCGCCGCCAGCCAGCTGCAGAGCAGGAGCCGGGAGGAGGAGGCCTCTCAGCTGGAGCAGTCCCTGAGGAGGGAGCAGGGCGCCGTGCTGCAGCTGCAGGAGGAGGCGGAGCGGCTGCGCAGGCAGCAGGAGGAGGCCAGCAGGGCCCGGGAGGCGGCCCAGAGGGAGCTGGAGACCTGGAGGCAGAAGGCCAACGAAGCCCTGCGCCTGCGGCTGCAGGCCGAGGAGGAGGCCCAGAAGAAGAGCCAGGCCCAGGAGGAGGCCGAGAGGCAGAAGGCCGAGGCCGAGCGCGACGCCAAGAGGAGGGCCAAGGCCGAGGAGGCCGCCCTGAGGCAGAAGGAGGCGGCCGAGCAGGAGCTGGACAAGCAGCGGAGGCTGGCGGAGCAGGTGGCCCAGCAGAAGCTGTCCGCCGAGCAGGAGTGCGTCCGGCTGAGGGCCGACTTCGAGCACGCCGAGCAGCAGAGGCAGCTGCTGGACGGCGAGCTGCAGCGGCTGAAGCAGGAGGTGAGCGGCGCCCAGAGCCAGCGGACGCAGCTGGAGGCCGAGCTGGCCCGGCTGCGCGCCGAGATGGAGGCCCTGCTGCAGATGAAGGCCCAGGCCGAGCGGGACACGCTGTCCCAGACGGAGAAGAGCAAGCAGCTGCTGGAGTCCGAGGCCCAGAGGATGAAGCAGCTGGCCGAGGAGGCCGCCCGGCTCCGAGCCGTGGCCGAGGAGGCCAAGAAGCAGAGGCAGACGGCCGAGGAGGAGGCCGCCCGGCAGAGGGCCCAAGCCGAGGGCATCCTGAAGGACAAGCTGGCCGCCATCAACGAGGCCACGCGGCTGAAGACCGAGGCTGAGATCGCCCTCAAAGCCAAAGAGGCCGAGAACGAGAGGCTCAAGAGGAAGGCCGAGGAGGAGGCCTATCAGAGGAAGCTGCTGGAGGACCAGGCTGCCCAGCACAAGCTGGAGATCCAGGAGAAAATCACCCACCTGAAGAGCTCCTCCGACTCGGAGCTGGAGAGGCAGAGGAGCATGGTGGAGGAGACCCTGAAGCAGAAGAAGGTGGTGGAGGAGGAGATCCACATCATCAGGCTCAGCTTTGACAAGGCGTCCAAGGAGAAGTCCGACCTGGAGGCGGAGCTGAAGAAGCTGAAGGGCGTGGCCGACGACACGCAAAAGAGCAAGCTGAAGGCCGAGAAGGAGGCCGAGAAGCTGAAGAAGCTGGCCGCCGAGGAGGAGAAGAAGAGGAAGGAGGCCGAGGAGAAGGTGAAGAGGATAGCCGCCGCCGAGGAGGAGGCGGCCCGCCAGTGCCGAGCGGCTAAAGACGAGGTGGAGCGGCTCAAGAAGAAGGCCGCCGACGCCAACAAGCAGAGGGAGAAGGCCGAGAAGGAGGCGGAGAGGCAGGAGGTGCTGGCCCGGGAGGCGGCCCAGAAGCTGGGCGCCGCCGAACAGAAGGCCCAGGACGCCCTGAGCAGGAACAAGGAGGACACCCGGGCCCAGGACAAGCTGAGGGACGAGTTCAGGGCGGCCCAGGCCCTGGCCGAGGCGGCGCAGAAGGCCCGGGACAAGGCCGAGAAGGAGGCGGCGCTGCTGCGGAAGGAGGCCCAGGAGGCCGATGGCCAGCGGCGGGCCGCCGAGGGGGAGGCCGCGCGGCAGGCGGCGGCCCAGGCGGACGCCGAGAGGCTGAGGAAGGAGGCCGAACAGGAGGCGTCCAAACGGGCCGCCGCCGAGGCCGCCGCCCTGAAGCAGAAGCAGCAGGCGGACGCGGAGATGGCCCGGCACAAGGAGCGGGCGGAGCAGGCCCTGGGGCAGAAGGCCCAGGTGGAGGCGGAGCTGGGCCAGGTGCGGCTGCAGCTGCAGCAGGCCGAGCAGACGCGGGTGCTGCTGGACGAGGAGCTGCGGCGGCTGAAGGGCGAGGCGCAGGACGCCGCGCGGCAGCGGGCGCAAGTCCAGGAGGAGCTGGCCCAGGTCCGGGCCCAGATGGAGCAGCTGCTGCAAACCAAGCTGAGGACGGAGGAGGAGAACCGGCGCCTCATGCAGAAGGACAAAGACAGCGCCCAGAAGCTGCTGCTGGACGAGGCCCAGAAGATGAAGGCGCTGGCCGAGGAGGCGGCCCGGCTCAGCCTGGAGGCCGAGCAGGCGGCCCGCCAGAGGCAGGCGGCCGAGGCGGACCTGGCCCAGCAGAGGGCGCTGGCCGAGGGGATGCTGAAGGAGAAGATGCAGGCCATCCAGGAGGCGGCCGGGCTGCGGGCCGAGGCCGAGCAGCTCCAGAAGCTGAAGGAGCAGGCCCAGGAGAAGGCCAAGAAGCTGCAGGAGGACAAGCAGCAGATCCAGAAGCGCCTGGACAAGGAGACGGAGGGCTTTCAGAAGTCGCTGGAGGCGGAGCGGAAGAGGCAGCTGGAGGCCTCCGCCGAGGCAGAGAGGCTGAGGCTGAAGGTGAAGGAGCTCAGCGAGGCCCAGGCCAAAGCCCAGGAGGAGGCAAAGAGATTCAAGCAGCAGGCCGAGGAGGCCCGGGCTCGCCTGCAGGCCACAGAGAAGCAGAGCTCGGAGGTGGTGGTCCAGAAGCTGGAGACGCAGAGGCTGCAGAGCACCAGGGAGGCCGACGACTTAAAGAAAGCCATCAGCGAGCTGGAGAAGGAGAGAGAGAGGCTGAAAAGGGATGCAGAGGAGCTCCAGAAGAAGTCCAAACAGGTACTGTGAAGCCCCTTCTAACACCCACTAACCACTGAGAAGTCTGAGGCCGGCTTTCATGTAAACTGCCTCCAAGCAAACACGTGAAATTTACATGAAAGTCAGGAGCCACTAACAAAACCTTTAGCAGAGTAGTTTCCCTTTTTAGTTTCCCTGTGAAGAGCTTTTCTTCCATCAGGACCGGCACTTTGTGCAGCTTTTTCAAATAAATCTGAAGGAAGCGTTAGTGGAAAATGTCTGTAGGTCTGCAGCAAATCCCCCCAAGGCCATTAGTATTAGCTTAAAAATGCCCTAAGAGCATATTTCTGCTTCCAACCCTTCCTTTTTTTTGCCATTTATGCTGGTTTGGGTGGTCATGTCCCTCCAGATGGAAGATAAAAACCAAAGAAGGTGCTAAAACTATTTTCTAATGTGTAAGTCATCTCTTTAAAAAGGAGAAGCTGAACCAAAATGCTACACAGTGAAATTTCAGTAATTTCCGATGATTAATGTTCCACCATTGAGTTCTTCTGTTGTTTTCTGGGGCTGTACAATATCAGAACACCACAGAATGGGGAAAAACACAGTTAAAAGGGTTCTCAGGTACAGTTTTCTGAGTAAATGTTGGTAAATTTGGCATAAAGCCCAGTGAGTTATTTAAAATTTGTGGAGAAAAGTGTTAATTGAAATCATCACATTTCTTAATTTTGTCAGAAAAAATAACACAAAAACCCAAGAATTGTCACAAAATGAGCACAAAGGGGCTTATCTTAATTTCAGCTTCCACATACATTGTTTAGGCTCTTTTAGTTGGGTATAGATGTCCTGAACAGCATTGAGTGATATTTTGCTAACTTTTCCCTGTTTTGTCCTCAAATAGATGGCGAATGCCCAGCAGGAGCAGATAGAACAGGAGAAGGCCAAGCTTCAGCAGTCTTTCCTCACTGAGAAAGAGCTGTTGCTCCAAAGGGAGAAGGCTGTTGAAGATGAGAGAAAAAGGCTCGAGAAGCAGTTCGAAGATGAAGTCCGAAAGGCCAAAGGTCTGAAGGGGGAGCAGGAGCGGCAGCGAAAGCTCGCCGAGGAGGAGAGGCAGAGGCTGCAGGCCGTGATGGACGAGGCGGTGAAGAGGCAGAAAGCGGCCGAGGAGGAGGTGAAGAGCAAGCAGAAGGAGGTGGAGGCGCTGAAAGAGAAGCGCCTGGAGCAGGAAAAGCTCCTGGAGGAGGAGAACAAAAAGCTCAGGGACAAGCTGCAGAGCCTGGAGGCCTCAAAGCAGCTCGCCTCCCGGACCAAGGAGATCGAAGTCCAGACCGAGGAGGCCACGGCGGCGAAGGTCCTGAACGGCGGCGTGGAGTCGGCAGCCGGCGGGAAGAAGGCCGAGGCACCGGCGCTCGCCTTCGATGGGATCAGAGAGAAGGTCCCCGCCGAGAGGCTTCACGAAGTCGGCGTCCTGACCAAGAAGGAGCTGGACAGGCTGAGGAAGGGCAAGGCCTCCATCCAGGAGCTGGAGAAGGCCGACAAGGTCCGGTGGTGCCTGAAGGGCCAGAACTGCGTGGGAGGAGTTCTGGCTCCGTCCAAAGGGAGGATGAGCGTCTATCAGGCCATGAAGGAGAAGGCGCTCGCCCCCAGCTCGGCCGCCATGCTCCTGGAAGCTCAGGCCGCCTCAGGCTTCATCGTCGATCCCCTCAGAAACAGACTTCTCTCCGTGGACGAGGCAGTTAAGGAGCAGCTGATCGGACCCGAGCTCCACGACAGGATGCTGTCGGCCGAACGGGCAGCCACCGGCTTCAAGGATCCGTACACCGGAGCCAAGATCTCTCTGTTTGAGGCCATGAACAAGGGGCTCGTCGAGAAGGAGCAGGCCACCAAATTCTTGGACGTGCAGCTGGCGACCGGTGGCATCGTGGACCCCGTCAACAGCCACCGAGTCCCACTTCAGACGGCCTACAAGCAGGGGCTGTTCGACGCAGACACGAACCAGAAACTGACGGATCCCAGCGAGGACTGCAAACTATTCATGGACCCCAGCACCCAGCAGCAGCTCACCTACAAACAGCTGCTGGACAAATGCAGCAAGGACCCAGAGACCGGCCTGCTCATGCTGCCAGTGACCGAAAAGGCTGCCCAAAGCGACAGGACCTACACAGACCTGGAGACCAGGGAGGTCTTCAGCAAGTCCAACGTCGATGTTCCTTTCGGGAAGTTCAAAGGGAAGACGGTCACCATCTGGGAGGTCATAAACTCTGAATACTTCACCGATGAGCAGAGAAGGGAGCTCATCCGCCAGTACAAGACGGGGAAGATCACAGTGGAAAAGATCATCAAGATCGTCATCACCGTCGTGGAAGACAAGGAGAAGCAAAGCGGCAACGTTTTCAATGGCCTGCGGGCTCCCGTCTCCGCCAGCGAGCTGCTGGAGTCCAAGATCATCAACAAGGATCTGTTCAACAAGCTGAGCAACGGGCAGATCTCGGTGAAGGAGGTCTCCGAGATGGAGTCTGTAAAGAAGGCCCTGCAGGGGTCGCCCAGCATCGCCGGGCTCCTGAACGAAGCCACCAAGGAGAAAATGCCTTTCTACCAAGCCATGAAGAAGGAGCTGCTCTCTCCAGAGACGGCGCTGAATCTCCTCGAGGCTCAAGCGGCGACAGGGTTCATGATCGACCCACTGAAAAACGAGCGGGTTCCCGTCGACGAAGCCGTGAAGTCAGGACTAGTCGGCCCAGAGCTGCACGAGCGGCTCCTGTCGGCTGAGAGAGCCGTTGGCGGCTACAGCGATCCCTACACTGGGAAAAAGGTGTCTCTTTTTGAAGCCATGGGCAAAGGCCTTGTGAAAAGAGACCAGGGCCTGAGGCTGCTGGAGGCCCAGCTCGCCACCGGTGGAGTCATAGACCCCCTGAAAAGCTGCCGTATCCCACAGGAGGTGGCGTGCAAGCGCGGGTACTTTGACGAGGAACTCGGCAAGACCTTAAACAAAAACACAGATGAAACAAAAGTGTTTTACGATCCCAACTCACAGGAGGATGCGACCTATGCACAGCTCATGAAAAAGTGCGTCAAAGACGGAGACACCGGGCTGCCGTTGCTCCCCCTTTCAAAGAAGACCCCAAAACGTAAAGAGGAAAAACAGATTACAGAGGCCAAAACAAAAGAGGCTCTGAACCAGTCCACCATGGAGCTGGACTACGGACCCTTCAAAGGCAGAAAAGTCACAATTTGGGAGATCATACACTCTGAATACATCACTGAAGAACAAAGAATAGAGCTGATTCGGCAATACAGGACAGGGCAGGTCACCATCGAACGTTTGATAAAGATAGTGATCACAATGGTGGATGAAAAAGAGGACAAAGAAAAGGAAGAAGCCTGCTTTGAAGGCCTCAGGGCACCAGTCACAGCCAGCTCTTTGCTCGATTCCAACATCATTGACAAAGCGTTATTTGATCAGCTCCAGCAGGGTAAAAAGACCCCCAAGGAGGTCTGTCAAGATGCAAAGGTCAGGAAGTACCTGCAGGGCACTGACCGCATTGACGGCGTCACCATGCGAGACTCAAATGAAAAGTTCAGCATATACCAAGCGATGAAAAACAACATCCTGCAGCATAAAACTGGACTTGCACTCCTGGAGGCTCAGGCCGGAACCGGCTTTATCACCGATCCTGTCAAAAACGAGAAATACTCTGTAGACGATGCCGTGAAGGTGGGAGTCGTCGGCCCCGAGCTGCACGAGAAGCTCCTGATGGCCGAGAAAGCAGTGACGGGATACAAAGACCCATACACGGGAGGCAGGATTTCTCTGTTCCAGGCCATGAAGAAGGAGCTGGTGCTTAGGGAGCATGCCATTCCTCTCCTGGAAGCCCAGTTTGCGACGGGAGGCATCATCGATCCCGTCAGCAGCCACCGCGTTCCCAACGACGTGGCCATTCAGCGGGGATTCCTAAGCAAACAGATGTCCAAATCCTTCAACGAGCCCTCTGGTGATGTCAAAGGTTTCACCGACCCCAACACCAACGAGGGGGCTACCTACAAACAGCTGCTGGGGAGCTGCAGCAGAGATCCCAACACCGGGCTCTGCTACCTGCCTCTGTCCAAGGTCGAAGCTCCTGCTGAGATATCCTATGAGTTCACAGAGGAGCAAGCCCAAAAAGATCTGTCCAACACTCAGATTGAGGTCCCGCACAAGAGCTTTGCAGGCAAGAGCATGAGCATCTGGGAGATCATGAACTCCAACATGCTTCCAGAGGAGGAGAGGCGCCGCCTCATGGAGCAGTATCGCTTAGGGCAAATCTCAAAGGACCGAATGCTGATCATCATCATTGAAATAATTGAACATAGGGAGAGCCTTAAGTCAGAGCAGAGTATGTCCTGCGACGTCATCAGGAGAAGAGTCACTATTGAGGAGCTGTACAGTGCTCGAATCCTTGACCTGCACACATACAACCTCCTCAAACAGGAGAAGATGAACATCCGCGAGGTGATGGAAATGCCATCGGTCAAGCAGTTCCTCTTCGGCACAGGCTGCATTGCTGGAATCATGTCGGACAGTCCTCCAAAGATCAGCATATACCAGGCTATGAAGAACGGGAAGATAAAGCCTGAGGTGGCTTTGACGCTCCTGGAGGCCCAGGCAGCAACCGGATTTATGATCGATCCAGTCAAAGACGAGCTCCTGACTGTCGATGAAGCTGTTCGCAAGGGTCTGGTGGGCCCCGAGCTCCACGACAAGCTTCTTTCTGCCGAACGAGCCGTCACAGGATACAAGGACCCCTACAGCGGGAAGGTGATCTCTCTCTTCCAGGCGATGAAAAAGGGCCTGATTCCTGAGGACTACGCTTTGAGGCTTCTGGAGGCCCAGAATGCCACAGGAGGCCTGATGGACCCCGAATACTACTTCCACCTGCCCACAGATGTCGCCATGCAGCGCGGGTACATCAACAAGGAGACCCTCGATAGAATAACTGAGCCCACCGCAGATGTGCGTGGTTACACCGATCCGACCACCGATGACAGCCAGTCCTACGCCCAGCTGCTGAAGAGATGCAGGGTGGACAAAGAGAGCGGCCTCCGGTTGCTTTCGCTGGCAGACCGAAGACTTCTCTTCAAGGGCCTCAGAAAACAAATCACGGTGGACGAGCTGCTTCGGTCTCAGATCATCGACCAAAAGACCTATAACGACCTCACCGAGGGGATCTTGTCTGTGGAGGAGGTCAGCAGGAGCGTGAAAAAGTACCTCGAGGGCACCAGCTGCATCGCCGGTGTGTATGTGGAATCCAGCAAAGACCGCCTGTCGATTTACCAAGCGATGAAAAGGAACATGATAAGACCAGGCACTGCGTTCGAGCTGCTGGAGGCTCAAGCCGCCACGGGTTACGTCATCGACCCCATAAAGAACCTGAAGCTGAACGTCTCAGAAGCGGTGAAAATGAGCGTCGTCGGCCCGGAGTTTAAAGACAAACTGCTCTCAGCTGAGCGAGCCGTGACAGGCTACAGAGACCCTTATTCGGGCAAGGTCATCTCTCTTTTCCAGGCCATGAAAAAGGGGCTCATTCTGAAAGACCATGGAATACGTCTGCTGGAGGCCCAGATCGCCACCGGTGGCATAATTGACCCAGAGGGGAGCCACCGACTCCCAGTGGAGACGGCCTATGAACGCGGGCTCTTCGACCAGGAGATGAACGAGATCCTCACAGATCCTTCGGACGACACAAAGGGCTTCTTCGACCCCAACACAGAGGAGAACCTTACATACCTGCAGCTGATGGAGAGGTGCATGATGGACCCGGAGACCGGCCTGCGTCTGCTGCTGCTCAAGGAGAAGAAGCGCGAGAGGAAGACTTCCTCCAAGTCTTCAGTCCGCAAGCGGAGGGTTGTCATCGTCGACCCGGAGTCCGGCAAGGAGATGTCGGTGTACGAGGCCTACCAGAAAGGGCTGATCGACCACCAAACCTACCTGGAGCTCGCAGAGCAGGAGTGCGAGTGGGAGGAGATCACAATTACCTCATCAGATGGGGTCGTGAAGTCCATGATCATCGACAGGAGGTCTGGACGGCAGTACGATATCGATGACGCAATCTCAAAGGGCCTAATCGACAAGTCGGCCCTGGATCAGTACCGAGCCGGGACCCTGTCCATCACCGAGTTTGCAGACATGCTGTCCGGGAACATGAGCGGGAGCAGATCCCGGTCCTCCTCCTTCGGCTCCTCCTCCTCCTACCCAAGTCCAATACCGGCCATAAAGACCCCACCAACCACATGGAACGACCCAACAGAGGAGACGGGCCCTGTGGCCGGAATCCTAGACACCGAGACCCTGGAGAAGGTGTCAGTCACGGAGGCCATCCACAGAAACCTGGTGGACAACATAACTGGGCAGAGGCTGCTGGAGGCCCAGGCCTGCACGGGCGGCATCATCGACCCCAACACTGGAGAGAAGTTCTCCATCAACGACGCCATGAACAAAGGGCTGGTGGACAAAATTATGGTGGATCGCATCAGCCTGTCCCAGAAGGCGTACAACGGATTTGAGGATCCGAGAACCAAAACCAAAATGTCGGCGGCCCAGGCCCTGAAGAAGGGCTGGCTCTACTACGAGGCCGGCCAGCGGTTCCTGGAGGTCCAGTATCTCACCGGCGGCCTCATCGACCCAGAGTCCACCGGCAGGGTCTCCATAGATGAGGCTGTGAAGAAGGGCACCCTTGATGCACGCACAGCTCAGAAGCTGCGAGACGTCAGCGCCTATTCCAAGTACCTCACGTGCCCTAAAACCAAGCTCAAGATCTCCTACAAGGACGCCATGGAAAGGAGCATGATAGAGGAGGGAACCGGCCTGAGACTCCTGGAGGCCTCCTCCCAGTCCACCAAAGGCCTTTACAGCCCCTACAGCATCAGCGGGTCCGGCTCGGCCACCGGATCGCGGTCCGGATCCAGGACGGGGTCCAGATCAGGCTCCAGGAGGGGCAGCTTCGACGCCACGGGGTCGGCGAGCTTCACCACCACCTTCTCCTCCTCGTCCTCCTACGGCTCGCCGAGCTACAGCCGGCGGTACTGAGCTTTAAAACCCACAGCGCTCACCAGATGCCTACTCCTGTGGAACGAAGCCGCCTTTATTCTGCTCTGCATGGAGTCGTTACAAAACAAAACTTTTAATATTTAATTTTCTACAAAACGAGTCGCCTTGTTTGTTGTATGTTTTGCATTAATTCACGCCGCCTGGTCGGATCCCTGATCCTCTCCAGCATCCGTCTGTCTTTAGATTAACGTTCGACATTACAAGCATTTACTGACCTCAAACGCAGCATAATAGAGCACACAGCCACTCACAAACACAGCCGGATTGGATGTATAAATCTAAAACTAATGTGTATATTTCTGAATGTGGGGGGAACGTAGCCACTCTGCAGAGCAGAATATGGAATCTAGCAAAGATAAATCACATTAATAAGAATGCCAAGCTTGGAGATGCCCTCTCTCCTGGACCGCACTGCCACTTATACTCTCCAAACACATGAATGCACTTCGTCTAGCCTGCAGTTTGAAGCACCAAAAAGTTTTTAAAAAGAAGCAGATTCTGGATGTAAAAGGACAGTTTCCAACACGCAAATCCCTGCTCTTCTGGACAGCTTGACAGGTAAACAGCGCTGGGTGTTTTGAAGGGTTTCCTGAGTAGTTTAAGGTCCTGTGTGGTGATTTTCTCTGTTTGTCGCCTGCAGCCTCCTGCCTGGATTTCCCACTGAGCCCCTCGGCATTGAACCCATCACAGGGCTGAAAACGGCGGCTCCTCGGCTGCTTTTTCAGACTCTGGTAGCAGTGGACTGTTTAAAGGAGAAGGAGAGCTACAACTGTCTGATTGCTACCCATATTATCCAGGTTACTGTCCTAAAAAGATGGCCTTTCTCATTCTAGCTACAGGTATCAGAAGATCTCTGCCACACGGGACTGGAATATATGATTTTACTCATAAAATGTAACATCGTGTTCTTTTCCTTCAGACTTAACAGGCATTGAAATATAGAGCTCCTCTACAAGCCATGATTGGACATTTCATTGCATCCAGTATTTGTGTGCCACTCGTTTTAAACTTCCTTTGTAAAGCGACACGTTCGAGCTGCATTATTTTCGTACTCTATTTTTCTGCTTTGCATGATTTAAAAATGGAAAAACTTATATAGCTGTACCCACTAAAGGTTTTGGTATGTTCCAAGAGGTTTGAAGGATGATGGATCCTAGTTTAAACTGGTGTATTTATAGCTAAAAGGGTGATGAGGAATTTTATTGTAACCCCTTACACTATGTAAATAAACACAAATTAAAAGCTTCCTCCTGTCTTTACTGTATTTCTGATACACTTAACATTCAGAGCATTCAAATGCTTTCAGATTTGCACAGCAGAACATCATATTTTTTCAGATTGTTTGTTTCCTCAACAGAAAAGAGTTTGTGGCTTAATGTTCTCAGAAGCTCACTCGGCTGAAATTTGGAGAGAAAAACACAAGAAATCTGGGTTTGAAATCCTGAGATGAAAATAGATAAACACTGCCACACAAAACTAACATAAAAGACTCAAAGATGCACAAAACCACCTCTGAAGAGACATAAAATGACCAATAGCAGGCAAAATTTGACTAGAAAACACACAATGTACACAAAAATACACAAATGAAGGAAAAATACATTAATCAGACACAACTACCAGAAAAATGGATAAATGTAGAAAATCACAAACCATCACAAAGGTGCCACAAAGACACACAAAGCAAAAATGAAGAGAAAGAAAGTGACTACAAAAAAAGTACACTAATTCAGGGCGGATGCTGCGTTCAGGGACCGTGGGACGCATCAACTAAAACCTGCTTACAGATGGATCGATCAGCCAGTTTTTTATCTATCATTATTTATTCATTTGTCTTTATTCATCTCTATTTCTAAGGCACCTGTGGCACATTTTTTAAACACATATCCTCTAAATTGTGTTTCTGTTTTAGTTTGAAATGTTTCGAAAGGAGTCAGAAGCAGATAATTCTGCTGACTTCTTCCTGTAGTCTCTTAATCAAGATGTTGAAGCTGTTTTCTTTCCTTGTTTTCTTTTTCTTTTTTTAACACATGGTGCGACATTGTTCTTCAGAGGTATCTAATGATTGTCAAAGCCATCTCTTAACCCGTGTTATATGAGGTATGATCCACCTTCTCTGGAGCTGGACCAGATGGAGGGTTTGCAGACTTACGGCTTACACTCCATTTCAAACTTCTTCCACTACAGAGTCTCATCCATCTTATTTAAGGCCCTTTGAGCTATTGTCAGAGCAGCTTTTTGTGCTTTAGGACCATCTGAGGGTAAAACAAAACCGTACAACCTTGAACGCATCCTGGGCCTGAGCAGACTGAGGTGGAAGAAGCCTTTGTCCTTTTTGCCGCCTGAAACTAAAAAGAATGGAGTGCAAATCTAGATAAAAAGTTCTCTGGTAATCAGTTGGAGAGATCGAAGGAAAACCAGCTCCACCGATTTGACCTGGGCTGAGAAAAAGCCGGGGGGACCCTCCACTTTGGGACCCTTCTCTTTAGTTCAGGGGCACCTGGTGTTGCAGGGGTCTCCTGATGAGAAGAAGTCGTAGACGCTGACCAGGGGGAACATGGTCACTGCCCCCAGCAGGGACCCCAGCTGCACCACCGCCCCGCACCACACGAGGGCGCTGTGGCCCTCGTCGCGCAGTATCACCCCGATGATGACCTTCACGTAGGACAGCGACAGGATGAAGACGATCCAGGCCAGCACCTGTGGATCGGAGGCTGTCAGAGCTCAGATTCCACCAGCAAAGCCGGAGCGGTGAGAGGTCCCTCACCATGATGGCGCCACCGGAGGCCTCGTTCACCAGCAGGGGGCAGGGACTGAGCACGGCCATGGCCATGATGTAGGCACCCACGGCACTGCCCATCACTGTGAGGGCTCCCATGAACACCAGGGACCTGTTTAGATTAAGACTTCACATCTGGAAAGGTTGTCCATTTCTTTTTCTTATGTTTCTTTAACTGTACATTGTGTAGTATTTTAAGTAATTTATTATCACTGTCTTCATTTATAATTGTGTCCTCATTTGGTGTAAAATGACCTCTGCAACGATCTGACTTCTCCCCGTAAGGAAGAATTTCCTATCTGTATATACACAGGACGGGTAAGTCCACAGAGATTTCCATGGTGATCCTTCCTTACATCTCTAGATTCCTAGATCTCTAGATACCTACAACTCTAGATCTCTGAATTCCTTATATCTTTAGATCTCTATATCTCTACATCTCTACATCTCTAACATCTATAGATCACTAGATCTCTACAACTCTAGATCTCTATCTCTCTATATCTCTACATTTTTATACTTCTAACATCTTTAGATCTTTTACCCCAGAAATTCAGCAGTTTTCTCACTACAATGAAGGCAGAGTCGTTTCTGAACTGGAATCAAGAAGCTTTGACCATCGACCCTCGTTCGGCCAAACTGACCTGATGGGGATGAACATGGCGATGAAGCAGGCCAGCGGATTGGACACGGCGGCCAGCGTGGCCGACAGGTGGTAGGCGCTGTTTCCATACGGCAGGCAGGAGTAGGACTGCACGGAGGGCAGCACCGTGTTGGTCAGCGCGTTCACCCAGGCCAGGACCCCGAAGATGTACAACACCTGTGTTAGAGATTTGTTGTTATTATCTCATAAAATCTGGCATGCCTCAGTTTGTTACAACATGGAATGTCTCAGGTCATGAACTTCTCACTTTTGTTAAATATATATAATATCACTTTTATATTTTGGAATGTTTTGGGTCACGCACTCCCTGTGACCCCGAGACTCGCTGATTTAACTTCGCAATATGCAGAAGAACCTCTACCTACGATCGCCTAAACATACAAATTTTCCAACATCCAAAATGAATTTCGGTCAAATATTTGACTCGACACCCAAAGTAAATTTCCAACATGACGTAACCACCTGCATCCAGCTGTAGGAGCCGGAGCCGAAGCTGCTTCTGGGCCTTGGGTTCTCGGGCCGGTAGGGGTCCATCATGGGCCTCTGCTCCGCCCACCTCCTCCTCCCCCCGCCATCCTCCTTCACCCCGTTGGTGTACCGGCCGTTGGGGAGCTCCCGGGCCACCGCCGGGTGATAGTTGAGCAGCAGGAACGCCAGCAGGCACACCAGCATCATGGCGCTGAGGAAGAAGAAGAACACCTCGACCGAGAAGTTGGCCGGCTGGTACTGGGCCTGCAGCAGGAGGGTCCCGTCTCCCAAGGAGGCGTTCGGGGCGCCATCGGGCGGTTGAGTGGCGTTGGCGCAATGGAGCACGCCGACCCCCTGGACCAGGGCCACCAGGGCGGGCAGCAGGCCGCTCACGCCCTCCCCGACGAAGTAGGTGGTCAGATACTGAGGCGGGAAGCGCATCATGAAGGGCAGGAAGGTGACGGAGGAGGTGCAGTCCACGGCGGCCAGGAAGAAGGTCAGCACGAAGAGGGCCACGCTGCGCGGGACCCCCCCCACCGGGACCGCCTCCTTCCAGAAGAAGCCCAGCAGGAAGCTGGCCACCGCCCCCAGCCCGATGATCAGGTAGATGACGGCGGCCTCGTTGAGCGCGGAAGGACGGAAGCGGTGGGTGAGGGTGACCAGGAGGGGCCCAACGTTGGCCATCTGGATGAGCGCGGACAGGTAGGAGGGCAGGAACCAGCCCTCAGGGACCTGGGGCACCATGAGGGGCAGCTCCACCCACAGACCGTTGATGGACACCCAGGAGCCCACGCCGAACAGGCAGGCCAGCAGGTGGGTGAGCAGGGACATGCTGGGGCGCACACAGACACACAACGCACTGAGCAGGGACAGACACACAACGCACTGAGAAGCAACACGGAAAGACAATGCATTTGGCAGTAACAAAATGCACTGAGCAAGGACACAAAGCACAGAGCAGCAACACAAAGTACAGAGAATCAACACGTACACACAACGCACTGAGCAAGGACACAACACACTGAGCAGCAAAACA